CATGTTGTTAAAGAAGAACTGATGGACGCAGAAACTCTCCAGAAATACTACTCCCATCCATATGATCCTCAATTTCCCCATTATGAGCTTGTACATCACTTGCCTCAGCATCAAGTTTTTGGATTACCCGACCCTAATCTCCATGTAAAATCTTCCCCAGATCTAAAAGATACTGTTTATGATCAGAAGAGAAGACCTGATGGAGCTGCCACTTTTGCTTCAAACAATCCTCAACCGGAAACTTTCCCTCTCCAATCTGAAGGATTTGGTACAGAAAAATTTGAGCTAGTAAGATCGTGGAACCTCAGTACCCCAGAGCAAGCTTTTGCAAAACTCCTGTCTTTGGCAGTGTATGGAGTATTCAAAAACAGGCAAGGATTTGAGATGACTGCCAATGCAGAAACTGAAACACAGATTTCTCAAGCAATTGAACTACTAAACTACAATTTGGCTGAAGAAATTCCTCTAGTTAAAAAACTTGATATGACTCGAAAAGCACTACTTGAGGAAATGGTGAGATCACCCGTTCCCGGGAAAAAGTGGATATCTTTATTTAAGGTTCTAGAAATCAAAACAAAATTTTTCCAAAAAAAACTAGAAGGAGGAGATTTTCAAGAACTTGGAAAACTTTATCCCAAACGGAAGATAACTGATACTTACATCCAAAGATTCCGCCAAGCTGATATGCACCATGAACTTGAGGATCTAGAGGTTCTCTACCGATCAGCTCATGGTCGTCTTGGAGATGTTTGTGAAGGTATTCCTATTGACCAAGGGACAAAAAGGAAAATTCACACCCTCCCATCTGATCCAGAAAGCTCAAGAGCAAAAAGACTCAAGCAGGAAAAGTACAACAATCATATGGTTGGAACAATTGGAAACAAATTGAATCAGAAGAAAAATACAGGTATCTTTTTGCTCCTTTTTCCTCATGAAAAAAACAACATGGAAATGGATGCAACTTTGGTTTTGATGCTCTGCACCATCAACCAATATATAAAATAGGATTAAAATTCAAATCAATTATTCATTTCTCATACCCACTTCATCTTTTTTTTTGTCTTTGACTGATAATTTCTTTGCATTTTGTTTCAGATAATGATTTCATACATTTAAATTACATATTAAGATTTAAGCCTATGGGGAAGACTGGCTTCCAAATCATGGCACAATCTGTGTTTCTAGATGGATTTCTATTTGCAAGGATAAAAGCAGCTTATGAGTCACAAGATCATCCAGAATTTCAGTCAATAATTTCTTTTGCATCTATTGCAAACACCATCAAGCTTATATATGAAAACTCCATGTGTTTGATTCACACAAAATCTTGTGAGTTTAATCTAAATTTGAAGAAAAAAAATGAAATACTTAGCTGATTGGTTTTCTTCCTTTTCTTCCATTCATCAGCATCCCCAGTTTCTTTTTTCACAGCAGAGAAAGATGCTTTCAGAAGAGTACTTGCCACTTTCACATATTTCACAAGGATCATTTTTCAATCACCAAGGTTTGGAAATTGCTTGTTTGATGGGACTCTGATGGCCATATATGCCTTAGAACAGACAAAAAACTTCCCTACAAAGCCAATTATTATTGAGCATTTGGAAGTTATAAGGCAGCTGTTCATGGATCCCATGAATGACTATTGTAAGTGAAGTTTTTTCACTTCTCTTCTTCAAATAAAACTTGATATTTACAAAATGTTTTTGGTTCAAATAGTGGGTAGGCTCCAAGTTTTCCAAGGAGGAAGCAAAGCAATTGATGCTAAAATTAAAAAGATTATGAAAGAGCCTCCAAAAGGCATAATATATGTCACAGAAATGTTTCAAAATATAAAATATCATCAAAAACAAGGAATTGAAATACATCAAAATCAAAGAACATACAGATAGGAGATCCAACATGAAATTTTTGATGCATTTTTTGAGATAAATTAAATTCTTAAATCTTAAAATTTTACCCTGTTTAATACAATATTTTACACTTTTTTCCTTTTGTTATCCAAATTCAGCCTGATCATACTTGAAATTTCTGTGAGTATCAACACTGCAACAAATACAACAAGCAGTTTGTATCATGAGGAGTTGTACCAACACATATGGCTGAGAGCCAGATTTATTTTGTGAAACTCCCAATAGAACCACATTGGTCTTGAAAAGGTTTAAATCAAGACAGTGACCTGTAGCATGTTACAGCTATAACTAAAAAGCTTGCGGATTTGGAAGATTGAAAATCCAAAACAAAACAAAAAACTCGTATGTAGCCGGAATTTTTGGAAGTATACAGCTAGGTGTACAGGTTGCCATGTACTGGCCAGTGGTGCCAATGAGACCTGACCGGCCCCCGTGGAGGGAGGTCTGCAGTGGCCAGGGTATGGGCCGGCATGGGGGTAGAGGGCGGTAAACTGAACATTCCATCAGGATTCCGATGGTTTTACTCTCATCACCTTAAAATGAGTGGAAAAACAGATAGCTGATTTGTGCCAAGGTCATCCATACATACATGGACCTGTATTCTTCCAAAGCTTCCAACTATAGTCCATAGCTTTTTTTATTTATTTTTTTCATTTTCTGACTTTGGAGCCTGCACACAAGCTTTCTTTTTATAGCTGTACATGCTGATACATTGCAAGTACTGTATTTGATTCAGCATCAGTAGTATGCCTTCCTCTTGATCTTTCAATCTATTTTTGTCAGGAAAACAGGTTTTTTCTACATTTTCTCCCCAGGCCGCTCTCTACATTCATTATTCTCAAGTGATTGTCGGTGGTGCTCAGCAACTTACTGCTAACTGAGTTGCCAACAAGCCAAACCTCTCAATAGGCTTCATGCATGGGCCACTCAGCATCCCTGGAGCCCAAATGCTCTTGAACAAATATGTGGTCATGTGTCTCAATTTCCAGCCGTAAACTGGACTCACCAAGCCAATATGGATTCAATCTGGGACGTCTGTCAACCCCAACACCAGTTCAATGAGCTTTTCAATTGCTGTGAGTTTATTAGTGAAATTGACACAACATTACCCCAGTCATCCTCTTGCTTATTACTAGCCAATCATCCCCTACCAAGCTCCTAACAGCGGTGGGCCGCTACGCTACGCTACACTTTTGGCCCAAAAAGCGTAGCGTAGCGGCGCTTTTTTTGCGCCAAAATTTTGTAGTGTTAGCGCTTTTGTAGCGCATTTTCGCTACGCTACGCTGCGCTACAGCGCTTTTAGCGGAAAAAGCGGCTAAAAACCGCTGTAGCGCAGCGTAGTGGGCCCTTTTTTGCGGCCCACACGCGTAGCGTTAGCGGTGTCGTGGCGGAATTCCGCTGCGTTACGCTACGGTTAGTGTAGCGGCCCACTGTTGCTCCTAACCCTCAACAAGGCACTGGAACACATGAATATGTCTTCTTGGTCCTTCAAGAAACCGCTGATGGATTATGGGCACTTTTCAAGCAACAACCTAAATTGTGTGCCAGTCTCTCCGGTTTGTTCAACTTGAAGTCCTTCTGTTCTCAAACCGGCCTTCATAATTTGGTGGCTGGAAGCTGGAAGTAACACAAGTTCTCTGTTTGAAAGCTTAATTTTCTTGTCGGGGATGGAAAATCCTGGCAATTTTTGCATTCCTAGTTTTCAAATCCACTCATCCCTAGACAATCTAATTACAAACACACACACTTGTTTCACAACACACTATGTATTTGTTTTTTTTTCTCCCTTCAAAGTAGCGACCAATTTAATCATTATCTGGCATCAAGTATTGTTTCAGACAATGCACACAGAATTATTTTGCCTCTTATGTCAATCACTTGATTTATTTTTAATAATGTTTTAATTGAATTCATAAATGCTGGCCGCTTTTCAGTTTGTAACCTATATCCTGACATGTCCGCCAAGCTCCTAGAGCTGAGAAGCTTGTTGGCTGTAATCATCTTGTGCCTGCATGGTAGACTGGCTGGGTCACTTCACAACATGAATTTCCAACTTCACCCTCAGTTTTTGAGTTACAGTGGTCTTGGTATGATGCCAATCAAATCCACCAATAATGACAATCATTGAACAAAGCCAGTCCTCAAAGAAGGACTTGAGACAAAAATTACCTAGCTGTCACGCATTAGATGAAATTTTTGATTTGTTTTGAGACAAAGAGAAGCCAGCGTAGGCCACCCCAGAAACCAGGCGGAAAAAGCTGCCAAATCAAGTACTTCATGCCTCAGCATTAGCTGCATCTGCTAACAAAATGAAATTTGACCAACATGCCTGAAATATTCAAATCATCTTCCAGATACATAGAGCACAATTTATGGCACTGGGCTTTAACACTGTGATAATCATGGAGCAATCTGTTGATTCTACCTGTGCTTCAAAAAAAGAGAATTGTCCCTGACACACTCGGATAACACTAAGGTCCAAGTCAAAGTGAAGAAGGTGTGGTAAGAACAATCAAGCCTATAAAACATAAAAAGACATATTACAATGTTAAAATAGTAAATATAAACTTAAGAAAACAGGTAATAATATCAAATAGTCATGATCAAGCCTTTTATTCTCAAATCATAGTTATTTTTCTTGATATTTTATTTGATATATATTTACACTACACGGACTAAAGGTATAAAAAATACAAGGAAGATTAGAGGGTATATATATATAGGGGCTTGGAAAAACAACTCCTGAATTTTAGGCGACGACTCCCATTTGGTTGTTGACGTTGAGAGGACCGTCTGCGGACCACCCCTGGACCAACTCTGGACCCAGGGCTCGGTCCAGGGAGTCGTTGGACCAATTATATGAATTTTTTAGTGGGAGTCGTCCGCCCATTTTGAAATACATTTTTTTTTGGGAGTTGTTGACCTAATATTTGGGAGTTGTCGCTCCCAATTCTCATTTTTTGGGGTTTTTCTGTTTTTTTTTTTTAAATTTCCATTGGGAGTTGTCAGGCCATCCTCACCTGACAAAACGGGAGTTGATGGCCCAATTTCCCAAAGTGAAAAATTGGCTGTTTTTTTTGTCTTGCGGGAGTCGTCAGACCAATCCCTAGGAGTCGTCTTGGGAGAAGAAAAATTGTTTCTTCTCCCATGCAGGAGTTGCCAACCCTAACCGGCATACCCACAACCAACCCATATCCACTCACGCAAATCAACCTTCAAGTTCAATGACAAAACCCCAATTTTTATTGCTTTTCTATCCAATTTTTCTCATTTTTTCCCCTTGCAGTTACATAACCCAAGACTCTTTGCTGCCCTTCAGCTCATGATAGAGATCGTTCGTTCGGACCTAGGTACCTGTTTATACCTAGGTACCTGTTCATTTTTTCAAGAAAATAGATACCATGTACCGCACCAGACACCTCCCGGGGGTACCCAAGGTACCTGTTGCAGGTACCTCAGGTACCCCCCTCTCTTTTTCACCTAGTTTCACTCCCAGAGTCCCAAGTCACTTTATTATTATTATTATTTTTTCATATTTATTGTAAAATATCACTCACAAGTCACTTTTTTGGCATTTTTTAATATCTGTTTTAATCATCTACATCTAGTTGGAAGAATCTTACTTTTCTATTTTTTTCATATTTATTGTAAAACATCAGTCCCAAGTCACTTTTTTAATTTGTTCATATTTAATAATTTATTGCAAAGTTTCAACTATCTACAACTTATAACTAATTGGAAGAATCTTCATTGTCATCCAAAACCATCACCTTCCTTTTTGATTTTTTGTTAGACTTCTTGTTATCCTTGAGTCCCTGTTTCCATGCAGCCAAGGTACCTTCTTGGATCTTGGAGTTCTTGGAGTAGAAGGCCACCATCACTTTGATTTTTGGTAGGGAAGTGAGGGGGTACCTGTAGAGGTACCTAGGTACCTGTTCAATTTTTCACAAAAATAGGTACCAAGTACCACACCTGGCACCTCCTGGCGGGTGCCGGGCGGGTGCGAGGGGTACCCCCCAGGAGGTACCAGGTACCTGCAAAAAGTACGGACGAACAATCTCTAGCTCATGAAGGATTGGAAAGAAAAGGCCTCAGAAGAGGCTTGGGGATGGGAAGCCAAATTTTCTGATTGTTTTCAATTGACTGTAGAGAGGAAAATTGAAAATCCAATGACCCACTACTAGGGTTTTTTTTCCTGTGTCTTTTTTAGTTTTTTGATTTTTTCCTCTATGTCCTTTTTTACCCTTTTTGTTCTTACATTTCTGATCAATTTTGAATGGTTTTTGCCTGTTTATCATTTCTTTTATCTCTCACAATTGTTTTTTTCAATGAATCTAATTTTTTATCATTGATAGAGTGCCTTTGGGGTGGGGCCCCACTGGCTCAACTTTTTTTTTGAGTCTCTAGGGAGGGGCCCCAGTGGCTCAACGTTTTCTTTTTGAGTCTCTAGGGAGGCTATATGGCGACAACTCCCGTATTTAGTTGGACAACTCCCTTCTTTTTTAATATAAAAAAAACTGACTCCCGCCTTTTAGGCGGACGACTCCCATATTTTTTAATAAAAAGAATTCAAAATCTCCAGTGAAATTAGGGAAACAACTCCCTTTATTTTTTAGGAATTGGAAAAACAACTCCCGCCTACAACCCCTCGACTGAAACAGGAGTCGTCACCTAAAATTTAGGAGTTGTTTTTCCAAGCCCTTATATATATTTAAAAAACAGATCTTATAAAATTATCTCAAATCACACAACATGATAAATTAATCAAGGAAGAATTAGAATTAAATTATTAAATAATAAGGCAAAAAACCACTCAAAAATATGAAGATTTTTATAGCATTAAAACAATCATTAATTACACAGCTGATCATCATTAATTACACAGCTGCTCATCATTAATTAAAAAGCAGTTCTTCATTGATTCACAGCCACATACCATTAATTACTCAGCCACTCATCATCATTTCACAACATAAAGATCATTAATCACACAGATGACATCATCGACCAACATAGCAGTAGGTTATTAATTTCACAGCTGCACTTCATTAACTCCACAGCTGCACATCATTAATTTCACAGCTTTAGATCATTAAATTCATAGCATGACATCATTAAATCATCAGCTTTTGGTCATTCCTCAGTCAGTTCAACTATTCTGATCAGTGTAGCTCATCCGCCTGCACACCAGAGATTTTTTCTATCAATAAAGGCCTTTCTGGTCCAAGTTTTCCTTCCACCTCATTTCTGCATAGGAAAATTAATCAGATATAATACTTCACATTCATCAACCCCCTTACATGTTAGCACCAGAGAAATAAGTAGAGACCTTATTTAGCTTTCATCAACCCTTACATATTAGATACAGAATAGTAATAAGAGATATTAATTAACCCTCACCACACTATTAGATTGAACCTTCATAAATATTAAAGATATTAATATTTAAACACTACTTAAACCCTCAACAGAAGATATTGATGAAATGAAGACTTACTTTATTATGAACCCAGATTAAACCAGAGATCCAGATATTGACTTCACATTCCAGAAAAACCAGAAAGTATAATTTAAACCAGAATAAATCAGAAACCTCACAGAAAACTCATAGCACCAGAAGATCTTGACCATCCATCTACCCATATAAAACAACTCATCATCCTTTACAGGTAGTATCTTCACTAAGATAAATTTTAGAAATCTACGACACTATTATTTTTTCTTAGTGTAACTCTCCAACAAGCTAGACAAGGAGGGCAGTCTCACCCACACCAATTTATTAATATTACTATTTCATATTTTTATTTAATATCTATACTGTAAGAGTTGTGTTGTGACTCTTCACTGGCTTCCTTAATTTTAGTGTTGAGACAGGCACAAGCCTGGAGAGAACTTCTAGAGCCTGAGTATGTTTTGATTTCTTGAACTAGCTTGATAGAATAGAAGATAGAAGTTCTCTCAGTACAATATAACCAGATAAGAATGATAAAGAAAGGAATGAAAGAGAATGAAAGAAAATCAAAGAGAATGAAAATAGCTCACCTAGCTCAATAGAATAGAAGATGAAAGTTCTCTACCAAGCTAGGAAGGGGGGGGGGATGATTGGAGTTCAAGTAGATGGATGATGGTTGGTGATTTTCTTTGTGAAACCTGTGTGCAGCAAGGTTTCAAATATCTTCTCCAAGCTCTTTACTCTTTGCTGAGAAGTTCTGCAACAGATCTCAGTCTGAGGAGCTGTTTTTTGAACGCTGGTCCAGCCAGGGTCTTACTTCTTTCAGTCAATCAAGTATCAGCTTCATGAATTTTGTCTTTTATTCTTATAATTTTTGGAATCCATTTTCATTTGGAAACTCATATATACTGACATTGGATCCTGTTGTAGGTTACCAAATCAGAGATGGTCGTGTTGCATCCGGATATCCGCGCGGATGCGGATATCCGGCTGCTTTTTCCGGGGAAAGCGGCATCCGCACCCGCATCCGCATCCCCTGGCGGATATCCCCCCGCCTTAGCGGGTATCCGAGCGGGTATCCTCGGATACCCGCCCTTTAAATGGCCGGCAAGGGACCGGCTGGAAGGGTTTCCTTCCAGCCGGCGAGGTGCATGTACCTCGCCAGCTGGAAGGAAATCCTTCCAGTCGACGAGGTACATGTACCTAGGGGTTCCTTCCAGTCGACGACATTTTCTTTGGCAATGTGAGGTTCAAACTTCAACAAGGTGACAGAATGTCTTGTTTTTGAACAAATGGAATCGATGACAGTTTTGTTAGAGGGAATGTTTTTTTTTTTTTTCAAAGAAATACAATCTATGACAGTTGTGCTCCTAGTACAGGGAATGATGTTTTTCTGCTAAAATTTCACGAAGCCGATTTTGAGAGTGGTATAAGAGTACAAGAAACAAAAGGGTGTTGGAAACGCTGTTTTCTGTCAAAGAAACAAGAAGAAGAATCGAAAGCTAAGAAGGGCAGAATTGAAAGGAAAGTTCTCGGAAGGATTCAGGTATTTCCATCAGTTACTGTCATCAGGAGTAGCTGGGGGACTAGCTGGGGCGTCGGTTTTTTTCTGGGGCCCAGGCAAGCCGACTTCGACTCGCTTGTCATCGAGATTGGAACCGCTACAGATGTGGAGCGAATTTTTCTTGGTGAGGGAGCGTTTGGAGGGTGGGTTGGGTCTCTCAGCGCCGCCCTTCTTGCCTGATGATTTGGGTTTCTCAGAGGCCGACTTCTTGTCACACTCGGTACAATACGCTTGCTGGAATTATGACAAAACAGTACAAATCAACCCGATCAGCTCTGAGAAAGGGCGCCGGACAAGAAGCTGTTCTTCACGGTTGTGGGCTTGGGATGTTGCACGTACCGCTGAGACCGTGAAGAAAGTCCGTCCAGTCTTCTCCAGTTTTTCCACACTGCCGACTAAGTCTGGCTGACAAAAGTCCAACTTTTCCGTGTCCTTGCACGAGGTAGACCTGATGAGCCGGAAGAAAAAAGTATCAGCGGTTGGTCGTCCACTCTATGATGTAGTTACTGTGGCTACATCCACTAGAAGGTCAGGCTTACCTGATATCTTTGTAGTGCGAGAGTATGGAAAAGAGAGCGCCGGCGTGTGGGGATTTGTTGGTCAACTCGGCGGCGCAGCCCTTGGAGAGCTCGGCTAAGGCTTCTTTCAACGATTCATCGGTACAGGCTTCAGTAGCACAAACACCGGAGATCCAGTCCTGCAAGAGGAATTAAGAAAGAAGAAATCCTTCCAGCCGGACATCCCCTTCTGGCCTCGGGTATCCTTTGGGATACCCGGATACCCGCCCAAATTTCTGGGAAAAGGGCACATCCGAACCCCAATCCGTATCCCCTGGCGGGTATCCGCTGGCGCTGGCGGGTATCCGCCAGGGGATAGCGGGTATCCGCAACGGATACCCCGCGACCATCTCTATACCAAATGGTGTTGTGTCATGCAAGGGGGTTGATAAGTGCACGCCAACCCCGATGGCGCACGCCAATCTGCACGCCAAGCGCAGATTGGCGTGCGCCCCTGCACGTCAATCTGCTGCAGGGTAGATTGTCCTGCAGTTGGCGTGCAGGCCTGCAGTTGCCAAACTGGGTCCCAAGCTCATATGTATATGGGGTTAGGGA